GTGCTGTATCAAATCAGATTTATGTTGTTGACCCTTGTACAGTACACCATGCCTTCTTTCATTTACAGCTGGCTTTCTGCCTGGATTGTTTACTTTCATTTAGTGGAGAGAAATCTAAAGCATTACATGTATTTCACTGAATATTGTTAGGCTGATTTAAACGCTTAAATTATTTGCTGATGTAGTACAAAGTCACAGTGGCAAGCCACCAGTTCCCTCATCTAATTTAGCCTGAAATTATTTCTCTGTAATATGACATCACAAATCATAACTCCCTGTGTGAATTATAAGCACTTCCATGAACATGAGTGGTATTTGGTTTGAAATAACTTCTTGGTAGATCTGCAGACTGTTTTGATAACTTCAGACTGGTTGTGAGTTTTTGAGTGTTTATATTTTTATGGAGTTTGATTGCTTTACTCAAACCACTAACAACTTTGAAGCCAAAAAATTTTTTTTTTCGTGATGAGAGAAAAAGAAACCAAATCCCCTTAGAGAAATTATCCCTACCTTGTATCTTATTTAACCTGTACAATTAAAGCAGCCTAGGAGGATGCCTCAGAGCAGGTTCACACTACCCAGTGCGAAGGCTTCAAACTCCTGCATATGCAATGTGCTGTGAGTGGAGCTGGACACAGTTTAGGTGTGTCAGGGGAACAGTCCCAATATGTGGTGCTGGGTAAGTGTAATTTGAATGAGACCATGAAAACACTCTAAATAACTTTAGAGAGGCTTTGTAGTAACAGATGGGGTTGGCAGAGACACCTTAGTTTGTCTTCTTGATGGACTATTAGGAACTCAACACAGAATATATGATCAAGTGTCCTTAAACTCACGTGGCCTTGAATTCTATGAACTTAGAAATCCTTTCTTAATAAATTTAGTTATCAAAACCACTCTAGCCAGCCATCATTAGAAACAGATGAAGGGATTATTGGATATTTTAAGACTCTTGGCAAGAATCTTTGAAAACAAAGAAATGAAGCTGATGGCTGATCTGTTGATGCTGGAGAGCTTTAGAAATGCAGCAATAGATTGACTTAGCAGAAAGATTGTATTTGATGTTTCTAAGGTGGAAGAAACAGAGAGTTTATTTTATCATGTGCAGAGTCTAAGACCCAAAGTACCAGCAAAAAGTCACAGGACAGGAGAGTGAAAATGTGACTAAACTGCCCTTTGTTTCTCTGAGTCAATAATTACAAGTGTAAATCTTATCTACATATGAAGTATAATTTGGAGCAACCTGAAGGCTGTTCGTGATCATACTGGCTGAAAATAGCTCCATGATAGCCAGCAGTGCAGGAACTATCATACTATCACCCAGAGGTTTCTCATGTATTCTTTGAGATTCCTTCCAGTAGTCTTAATTTTCATACTCCTGTATCACAGTGTCATGCAAAGGTTCTGACTCTTAAGAATGTGTCATCCATTCATTGGACTATATATGCAGAAGTCATGTTAACCTTTAATAAAAACAAAAATCCCATTAGTTTTGTTTAAAAAAAATTAGATTCATTATCTAAATAAGGCACTCTCTCTCATGCCAGTTATACTGTTGATAAAAAGTGTCAGCAGCTGCTGTATGAAATTGTACAGTATTACGTTTTTAAGGTTCATTATTTCTGACATTCTCACAGCATACATAATTTTTGATTCTTTACTTACTCCATTACAGACAGGAAATAAGGAACTGGCAATTACCATTTGTAATTAATGCCCTGCTGTTCATGTTGAGCTGTGGATGTAAAGCTTTTTTCACTGCTGCTTAGTAACAAGCATTTCAAATGAAAAATAGGCACACCCACATTGAATACGTATTAGGCCAAATTTACTTTCCAGATTAAGCTGTGCTATTCCCATTGAGGGCAGGGATTATGCCTATGAGCCAGGGAATCTGTTGAAGGTACACCCATTATGTCCCTTTGCACTCAGTAGGGAAAAGACTAGAGGAGGAATCCAGGTCTTGTTGAAAAGGTTTGAGAAGATTTGCAAAAACTTCATTCTTTGCCTCCCTTGTGTTTTTACTACATGTTTCAGAGGAAGGGACCATACTGAAATTTATATCATTCAAACCAGACCAATAGAACTATACCAGTAAGTATCCCTGGGTAAATGTGTCATATAAGAAGTTGCAGAACTAATAGGTCTGTCTGTAATACATGAATGTACGTGTGAAGTGACTGAGGCCTGGGGAAATATGCATGTGTTAGCTAGTGAACTACAATAATGGTTGGATTTGCAGTCTAGAACATGACAAAGTAGGAAAACATAAGTACATAAAGGATACTGCATCCTCTCTATTGTCACTAGTACCACATCATGCTACTGTGGGGACTTGGGTGGTGTTTTTTTATAAAATGCTTCAGGTTGAACTGCCACTCCAACCCTCAATTTTTTGGAAAATTGGGGGGGTTTGTTCTTGGTAATGATTGAGAGCATTTGTCTAAATTCCAGTGTAGGTTTACTCATTGCTAGGTCATACAAATTTTTTACCTCATAAATAACTCCTCTCCTTTTTGGAGCTTGCTTCTAATTCTTTTAAGAACAAAAGTGGCCCACCTTATTTTGCATTGCTAAACCAGTTGGTTTCTGCTGCCAAAATACATCAGTTGTCCTAATAGCGCTTCTTGCCACCTGCTGTAGTTTTGAGTTCCATGTCTTGATAGTTTCTGTTCATGATATTCCAAATGAAACCTTAGCGCATTGTGCAGTGATAGTAATACTTTCTTGTCACCATTATAAAGAAATACCTTGACTTGATGCATGCTTGAATTTAATTTCCCTTTTTGTAATTCCTACCCCCC